GCAGGCGCTGGGACCGAACGACGGGAGCGCACCCTGCTGCAGGGATTCGAACCGCCGATCGGATCGGCAAGTCCTAGGCGCTGAGGTTTTACCCACAGCGCCACCTGCGTCCCTTGGAAGGTATAGTAGGATGTCCCTATTTTATTCGGAGAAATGTTGGGAGGGTGTGGAGTTATGTGACCCCCTTAAGTCAAGGAGAAAAATAACTATACAACCTTTAGAAGACATCTAAAAGCAGCTCTGTATAGGGAAGCTTTTTAATGTTCAATCTTTTATGTTTTTGTATATGCTAGAAGCCACCCAGAGTGGCTAGGGCAACGCAGTCAGATGGGCATGGTATAAATGATAAAATCATCATCATCATCATCATGGAATAGGAGGCCCCTATTTGTATTGGACAGTAGGCACCAGCATATTCCTGTATTGCAGGGGGTTGAACTAGATGATCATCAGGGTACCTTCCATCTCTATTACTCTATGATAATGTATTTATTATCATTATCATTCCCCGCCCCGTTTCTTCGTGCTGAGAGAGGCCGTCTGGAAGCAGCAAATAAAAATTTCTTCCTCTTCTTCACTTCTTCTTCACTTGTTACTCAACCCATTTCTTCATGCAGAAAATAACTATTATTATTATTAATATTGCATTCCTCGCCCCGTTTCTTCATGCAGAAAATAACTATTATTATTATAGTGTTTCTCGCCCGTTTCTTCATGAAGCAAACTCCTCCTCTTCCTCTTCTATCGTTCCTCCTCCCGTTTCTTCATAAAGCAAATAATAACAGCAACTATTATTATTATTATGTTCCTCGCTCTGTTACTTCATGCAGCAAATAACTATTATTGTTATTATTTTGTTCCCCGCCCCCATTTTCTTTGTGTTCTGAGAGAGGCCGTCTGGGAGCAGCAAATAATAATAACAGCAACTATTATTATTATTATTATGTCCCCCACCATTATTATTATTATTATTATTATTATGATGTCCCCCACCATTTCTTCGCGTTCTGAGAGAGGCCGCCTGGGAGCAGCAAATAATAATAACACCAAATATTATTATTATTATTATTATTATTATTATTATTATTATTATTATTATTATTATTATTATTTTGTGTCCCCCACCGTTTCTTCGTGTTCTGAGAGAGGCCGTCTGGGAGCAGCAAATAATAATAACAGCAACTATTATTATTATTATGTTCCTCGCTCTGTTACTTCATGCAGCAAATAACTATTATTGTTATTATTTTGGCGGTCTGGGAGCGGCAAGCGCCTGGCTTCCCGACGAGGCCGCGGGAGGGCCAGCAGCATCCAAGCAAGCGCCGGCCTCCGGCTCCGCCGGCTCCTCCTTTTCCCTCCCCGCCAGGATGTGAGCTCAGCGGCCGCGCCGCCTCCTTCCTCTTGTGTAATGCTTACCGGTTTCCCGTGCGGCGGCGGCGGCGGCCGAGGAGCCGAGAGCGCTGGGGGCGAGCGCGGCCCTGGCCTCCCGGGACTCCCCGGGGCCAGCTGAGGAGAGGCGGTGAGTCGCCGTTGGCGCGGCGGGAAGGCTCGCGCTCTCCCCCTCACGCCTCGCCTCAGGCGGCGGGAAAGCGCCTGAGGTAAAAGGGCGCGAGGAGGACCCCCACGCCGCCCGTGTTGGGAGGAGGGACTTCGCTTTTGAGGGGTCCCCAGCGCCATGGCGGGCCCTCTCCCCCCCCCCCCCCAATACTGCAAAGGGATTTTAAGGAGCAGGGAGTGGTGTTTTCTGAGGGAGGGAGAACGGGCGGACTGACTGACGGGCTCATTCATGGCCGACCGCTGGGCATGGCAAATAGAAATGTTGACCAGCGCGATGGTGCCTTGGCTTCGTCGACTTGTATCTGAGACGCCACAGAGGGAGGTTTCCCAAACTTGGGTCGCCAGCTGTTGTTTTTTTTTTTTAGGACTACAACTCCCATCATCCCTGAACTACTGGTCCTGTTAGCTAAGGATGATGGGAGTTGTAGTCCAAAAACAGTTTGGGAAACTGCTCCCGGGGAGAGAGAGAGAGAGAGAGAGAGAGAGAGAGTACAGTGCTTCCCCCCCAAAAAAGATGTTTAGAGCTACTCTCATTTTGACTTGAGAAAATCACCATTTTATACTTCAAATTGGGAAAAATAAATAAATGGACAAAAGTACTGCACCAAGATTCACAAAATGTTTAGGGGTATACGCCCCCCCCCCCGAAAAAAGGGCTGTGCGCGTGTGTGTGCACGTTTTATATATATATATATATATATATATATATATATATATATGGTGAGTCCTTTAAAAGAGGCCCTGTGGATACAGAGTACACATGTTCCACAGCGCCTCTTTTAAAAGACCTACCCTGTATATGTGTGTATAATAAAATGTGTGTGTGTGTATAATAAAATCTTCCAAGATGAATCTTAGGAGGAAACTGAGGGAAGAGGTGTAAAGTTAAAAGGTGGGAGAGGTGCGAAACGCTGTGGTAGAAATTGGCCATGGCTTGCCGTGGGAATGTTTCTAGAAGGCTGCTTGGGAAAGCGGTGCCTTTGCACAGCCTGGTCCTTCCAAATATTTTTAGACTGACTACAATTCCCATCAGCCCCAGCGAGCATGGCTCCATGGTCAGGCGCGATGGGAGTTGTAGTCCAGCAGCGTCTTGGTTTGGAAAAGGCTGCCCTGTTAAATATTCTGTGTTAAGGGAAATGGGAGCCTTTGGGTTATTAAATGCTGTGATCTCAGACATGTTGTGAAAAATGGGGACATAAGGGGACATAACAGCCTCAGGTGACTCGATGGGTCAGTGTGTCTGGTGTTTTGAGGTTGGTGTTTTGAGCCTGTCCAGGGATGACTGCAGGCAGCATTTCTGCATTGCAGTGGGTTGGACTAGATGACCCTCAGGGTCCCTTCCAACTCTGCAGTCCTATAACCCTCCTAGTCCAGCATTCTGTTCTTTCAGTGGCCAACCAGAGTCCTATAAGAAGCCCAAAAGCAGGATCTGGGTGCAATAGCACTATTCCCACTTGTGATTTCCAGCAACTGAGCTCTATATCGACTTGCCGTCCCATTCTACACTTTCTAATTGATATTTTAAATCAAATTGGTACATATGTGGAGTCAGTTTAATACAGTCATACCTCGGGTTGAAGTAGCTTCAAGTTAAGTATTTTCGGGTTGCGCTCTGTGGCAACCCAGAAGCAACGGAGCGAGTTACTTCCGGGTTTCGCCGCATGCGCAGACGCTCAAAATAATGTCATGCGAAACATGACCTGCGCACACGCAGACACACAGTCGCGTGTTACGTTTACTTCAGGATGCGAATGGGGCTCCGGAACGGATCCCGTTCGTATCCAGAGGTACCACTGTAACATTAATAAAACAAGACGTTAACAAACAAATTATGAATTATAAAATATTTAAAATAGAGCCACTTAATAGTAATTTGTGTGTTTCAAAATGAAATTATGGATTGTGTGTCGTTTGTGAAGAGCAATGCAGTTGAGATGAACAAATCCCTCTCTTGTCTTTTTTAGGCAGAGTTGTGACGAAGAACTAAAGGTCTGCCATGGGGAACCAGCTGGCTGGTATTGCCCCTTCTCAGATCCTCTCCGTTGACAGCTATTTCTCAGACATCCATGACTTTGAATATGACAAAAGCTTGGGCAGTACTCGGTTTTTTAAAGTTGCCCGAGCCAAGCACAGAGAAGGTCTGGTGGTCGTCAAGGTGTTTGCCATTCAAGATCCAACTTTACCATTAACTAGTTACAAGCAGGAGCTGGAGGAGCTGAAAATAAGGTTGAATTCTGCGCAAAACTGTCTTCCCTTCCAGAAGGCCACATTATCTGAAAAAGCAGCCATGCTTTTCAGGCAGTATGTACGAGATAATCTCTATGACCGTATTAGTACTCGTCCGTTCCTAAACAACATTGAGAAACGGTGGATAGCCTTCCAGATCTTGACTGCAGTGGACCAAGCACACAGGTCTGGGGTCCGTCACGGAGACATCAAAACTGAAAATGTCATGGTGACCAGCTGGAACTGGGTCCTTCTAACAGATTTTGCTAGTTTTAAACCAACCTACCTTCCTGAAGACAACCCTGCTGATTTCAATTATTTCTTTGATACGTCAAGAAGGAGGACTTGCTACATTGCTCCAGAGCGCTTTGTTGATGGCAGCATATTTGCAACGGAACTGGAGAATATGAGAGATCCTTCCACTCCCCTGGTGGACTTGGCTAACAGTAATCAACGAAGCAGGGGGGAACTAAAGCGTGCAATGGACATCTTTTCTGCAGGTACTTTAAAGTGATCAAGTAAACGACGTGCATAAGCTGTGCCTTCATAGAAAGTGTTGCTTTCTGATTTCTGGGGGAGAGTGGGGAACTTAGTGCAACCTTTGATGAACTAAAACCATCAGCCTTTTCCAGATATAATGTATGAGATACAGCATAGAACTACAGTGGTACCTTGGTTCTCAAACTTAATCTGTTCTGGCAGTCTGTCCCAAAACCAAAGCATTCCAAAACCAAGGCATGCTTTCCTATAGAAAGTAATGCAAAATGGATCAATCCATTCCAGACTTTTAAAAACAACCCCTAAAACAGCAATTTAACAAGAATTTCACTATCTAATGAAACCATTGATCCATAAAATGAAAGCAATAAACAATGTGCTGCAGTCACACAATCAATCAGTAGCTGAACTGGGTTCCACACAGTCACAAAAACAAACAAAAAGAGCTGCAAAAACAAAAATGCAAAATAAATAGCAAAAACAGACAGGCCTCAGTGTAACATTCAGAACGGAAGTGTGGCACTCAAAAGGGAAGTGGCACTCAAAACGGAAGTGTAACACTCAAAACAGAAGTGTGGCACTCAAATCGGAAGCGTAACACTCAAAACGGAAGTATAACACTCAAAATGGAAGTGTAGCACTCAAATTGGAAGTGTAACACTCAAAACAGAGCACATTTGGCTTCCAAAAAATGTTTGCAAACCAGAACACTTACTTCTAGGTTTTCAGTGTTTGGGTTCCAAGTTGTTTGAGTACCAAGGTGTTTGAGAACCAAGGTACCACTGTACAGGTTTTACTTCACAATCATTGTTTGAGTACCAAGGTGTTTGAGAACCAAGGTACCACTGTACAGGTTTTACTTCACAATCACATTAGTCTGCATGATAATTCCTAGCATTCCTTGTGAATTCTCAAGTCTTCCTGTGATTAGCAAAGTATAATGTTTAGCAGGAGGCTTGCAAACAATTAAGCTCCACATTTGTCCAGCCAAAGTATATATTAAAAAATAACATATAGTACATCTCTCCTGTAATCATACGACTTCAGAATGTAATGGGAAAATGCATCGTTGAAAGCTTCTCTGTGTAAAAATCATAATAAAATCATTGCACATAGAAAACTAGCAAGTAAGTATGAAGGGTCCTAGCTTAGCCTTCTTCCCAGTATGCTAGTTTTTCCCATTTAGAATGGTGTTGTTGTTTGTTTGCTTCCTTGTATTTTTTAAAACAAACAATCAAGCATGCCATTCTCTCATCTGCGTTCTGAAATGGTACTGTCCCAGGAGACTTACTCTAATTTCTGTACTAGTTGTGAAGTACACTGAATAACAGTAGCATCTCTGTATTTTAATGGTGATTCATACTGGGCTAATTTCTATGCCTCTCAGGGTGCTTACAGATGTGGGCTTAATATTACAAAAAGGCTATTGAGACATTGCAAATAGGGCATTGTAACTTGCTGGATTTTCCCTTTTCTGGAAAATCCTGATTAAAGGTGGGAGGAGGAAATATGGAGCAATATTTTGATGTCAATAGCATTGTATTGCATGCACAATGAACACCATTCCCCCATAAACACCTGTCTGGAAGCAATCTGAAAGCACTTCCTGGTGTCAAATCCATGTGGCTACTTTTGTTTCACTGGGGTCTCTGCATTAAGCCTGTGGGCTGTAGTGGGAGGATTGGTCACACAAGTTAGCCCCAGATACATTAGCGGAATTGTAAAACATGCTCACAAGAAACCTTATAATTTCATGATCCACAATATTTTTTTGTTGGCATCAATGTCTTCTTACTATTTAGATGCCGGACATCTTGCCCTGGTGCTGACAGTTATTTGCACTTCTGTCATTCTTCCTAAGTGATGTGAATTTACATGCAGGTTTGGGGGCTTCATCATGTTGGGCAGCCCTTGATTGTTTCTGCTTCAGGAAACAATGGTAATTACCTTGGTTGAGAAATCCTACAGTCAACTGAAGGACAGAGAAACTAACTCCAGGCAGATCTAGAGAAGAACAGCTTATTTTCATACTTTCTTTCCTTTTTCAATAAACAGTATTTGGAGGGACCTTTTCTGCCTAGCTGTCAGTGTAAGATGTGGGTTCATATTGTGTTCTGAATGCAGTCAACTAGTAGTATATAGTCTCGCTCAATCAGTAGCAGGAAATATGGATGCCAACAGGTGCCGAATGTTCCTTTTCTCCAGGCTGTAAAGGCTAATCTACAATTTTGAACTCCACATAGGGTTCTGTCTACATTGCAGCCCTAGTCATATTGTTTTGGGCCACTGATCATCTCTTGTGGGTGTGTGGGTGTGTAAAACATCTTCAAGCCTGCACGTATTCTTACTGGTTCTCAGTGATGGTTTCCAATATCATTTGAACACCAGAGGGGGGAAAAGGATGCGGTTGATACGCTTTTCCCACCCACCCCAATTTGATGGGGTTTCTATTTCTTTTAAAAGAAATAGAATGCCCTCCCATCAGATGTTAAGGAGATGAGTAATTATATAACATTTAGGAAACATTTGAGGGAAGCCCTGTATAGGGAAGCTTTTTAAGGTTTAATGTTTTACTATGTTTTTATATATGCTGGAAGCCACCCAGAGTGGCTGGGGCAACCCAGTCAGATGGGCGAGGTACTACTACTACTACTAATTTACTATTAGTAGTAGTAGTATTTATTATAGCAATAGAGTTAGAAAAAGCAAGTTCCTGTGCTGCAAGCTGAAGTCTTCATCAGCCTCCTGATGTCAGTTTTTGGAGTGCAGATTTATGGTTCTATATTGGTAATTAGAGCGCTGAGGGCTGGAAGTTGAACTAGAGGTGAACTAGAGGTGGAGAGAAGTGATGTCTTCTTAAATGCTCGAACTTGAAAAGGATTGTGTGGCCAATTGGAAAGTGACATCATCTCCATCTTTTATAGTCTTTGGTTATGAGCAGGCGAAAGAAGAGATGTCTACCAAATAATTCTCAGGAAGCTGTTCTGTATTTTCCAGGTTGCGTAATAGCTGAGCTCTTTACAGAAGGTGTACCTCTGTTTGACTTGTCACAGCTTTTGGCGTATAGAAATGGCCTCTTTTCCCCCGAACAAGTCCTGAATAAAATTGAAGACCGGAGTATTAGAGAACTGGTAACTAATTCCACTCTATTTACAGTGGCTTATTGCATTTTCCATACCTACTTTAATAATAAAGCATTGCCTTCACCTTGCTCTTTTTGCTCTCTTTTATCTGAAGGTTACCCAGATGATCCACTGTGAACCAGAAAAACGTTTAGCAGCTGAAGACTACTTGAAACAACAACGAAACAACGCATTTCCTGAAATATTTTATACTTTCCTCCAGCCTTACATGGCACAGTTTGCCAAGGAAACCTTTGTATCTGCAGATGAGCGCATCCTCGTTATACGTAAAGATCTGGACAATATTATCCATAATCTCTGTGGGCATGACCAAACCGAAAAAGCTGAAGGAGAGACAAAGGAAAATGGGCTGGTCATTTTGGTGTCGGTGATAACGTCCTGCCTTCAGACCCTCAAATACTGTGATTCAAAGCTGGCTGCTTTGGAACTGATTCTCCAGCTGGCACCCAGGTTAAGTGTGGAAATTCTGCTGGATCGTATCACGCCTTATCTCTTGCATTTCAGCAATGACTCTGTGCCCAGAGTAAGGGCAGAAGCCGTTAGGACACTCACTAAAGTTCTTGCTCTGGTCAAAGAAGTACCACGTAATGATATCAATATCTACCCAGAATACATCTTGCCAGGTATTGCACATTTGGCCCAAGATGAAGCCACTATTGTCCGACTGGCTTATGCTGGTAAGAGGGGACATGGGGGGCATTGGGGAGGGATTTCTTTGATGTCATTGCATTTCTCTTTTTAAATCACAGAACTGGAATAAAGAGGGAGGTGTCTGCAAATGTAGATTTTTATTTAGTGCTGAATTTATTTTTCCTTGTATGAGAATTTGAGGGATTAAAAAATATATATCTCAGAATGACCTATTGTGTCTAAATTAAATAAACAGGCCAGAATGTCAGTGGCAAAAACATGTTTGGGTCCTACCATCTGCCTGTCTTACTGCTCTAAAACTAACAAACCAACCAGGAGTGTGCCCTGCTGCTTGTGCTTCTGACACAAGAATGCCAGAATGATCATTGGCTTCTTTGGATCTGAAACAAGTTTGTCTAGTCCTGCATTCTGTTTTTGCCAGTAGACAGTGAGGGGTCTCTTGGAGCTCACACACAGAATGTGATGGTTGTGCCGAGGTCCATATGGCACAGACATGAAATGGGCATCATTGGTAGTTCTTGCCCATGCCCTGCCTCCCCCTTCCGCCCCCCCCCAAAAAACTGAAGGAAGCAATTTTGCAAAGTTCAAGCTTGGTTTTCTCTGTCTAGGGGTAAGCCAGTATAAGATGCTGTTATTCTGAGATACTTCACATTTTAATCACATATCACCTGTGCTTAAAACTATTGCCACTGTTGCTGTTGTTGTTAATCTTTTTTTTAAAAAAAAATTTGGATTATCTGCCTCTTACATCCTGCTTTGATATTTGCAGAAAACATAGCACTGTTGGCAGAAACTGCTCTGAGATTCCTAGAACTTGTCCAATTGAAAAACTTGAACATGGAGAATGAACCAAATAGTGAAGAAATGGATGATGCAACACATCCAAGCGAAAATTATGATACTGGTAATGTATCTTTCACTTTCCTTTACTCATGCTCATATGAATACTTATTGGGGAGTAAGCCCAATTGGATGTAGTGGTTGTTGTGTCCAAATGAACATGCATAGACTCAAGAGATTGTTAATTTTTTCATCTTTATGGTTCAGATTCCAGAAGGATGCTGAGAACTTCGGCTTCTTGAGAGCTACAGTAGGGATTTAAGATAATCTCCCAATTCTTAATGAGAAAGAGGCACCAAAAGACCAGTCAAGTCAGACCACAGTCAAGTCAGGATACCTTTATCCAGTCCTTCAGGAAATCAGACTGGTGATCATCCTAGCAAGAAATTACGACTCAAGGATAGCCATCACCCTTCTTGGCATTTTAAAGCTCTGTGGAACTTGACAGAGCACAGAGAAAACTTTGTCCTACAAGGCAGCCTAAAAATAGCTGCTCAAAGAAGATAAAATATTTTGAATAAATAAGAGTTTTGCAAGTAAAGCAGAAGTGGGGAACATGAGGCACAGGGGGCGGATTTAGCAATCCAGGCCTCTCTAACTGGCCTTTGGACTCTCCCCAGCCCACACCACTCCCATTGCCCTCCTTTGTGCCCTTATCAAGCCCTTATCAATCAGAGTGGCAGAGTGACCTTTATCTGTGATAATCCCTCTTGTTTGCTTGGATGGCTAGATGTGTTTGCGGGAGGTAGAAATCTCCAGCAGTTGTGTGTCTGGAATATAGCCTACTGTACAAAGTTAAGAGTCATATCAATTGTTCCATCAGCCTTTGCCTCTGGCCTCATCCACTACTGGCATGCGTCCCTGGAAGGTTGCTGATGAGGTAATGTAGCCTTCTGGCTGAAATAAGTTCTTCATCCCTAAAGTAGAGCCTTCCATATTCCCTATACAGTGGTACCTCGGGTTACATATGCTTCAGGTAACAGACTCCACTAACCCAGAAATATTACCTTGGGTTAAGAACTTTGCTTCAGGATGAGAACAGAAATTGTGCAGCGGCAGCAGGAGGCCACGTTAGTTAAAGTGGCACCTCAGGTTAAGAACAGTTTCATGTTAAGAACAGACCTCCAGAACGAATTAAGTTCTTAACCCGAGGTACCCCTGTAGTGTTAAGGAGATCACTCCAATGGGTGTAAGTGCACAGGTATATCCTCAACACTGAAGTGCATGAGGAAAGTAATGTTTACAGAGTGAACTTTAGGTTCTGTGCAGCAAGTACCTCTAAAGAGGAGTTGTTTCCTAGCTTCTAAAATCTAAGGTATTTCGTTGAGCAAATAGTCAGGGAGACTTTTAGTTGTTCCTTCAGTTTCAGTGTTGCACATCTACTCTAAACCTCTCACTCCAAGGCTACACAAAGCTACCCACAAGTGGTTCTTCTCCTGATCAAAATGTTTTCTACCCTCAATTGCATGCTGTTCCTGCTTCTGCTCATTCTCTCTTCCTCTGTTCTATCCACCATCCCTTCCCCTGCCATCTGAAAGGCAGTCTTTTATCCTTGTGCTCCACAATCCGCAGCACGCCTAGAGTAACCTTTGAAGTTATAGGAATGGCCAGAAAATTGAATTTGGTGTTGTTAACATAGTGCTTTTTCTGCATATTTGCTGATCTACTTAGACACGTAACCACATACATCAGGGATGTCCAACAGGTAGATTGCGATCCACTGGCAGATTGCAGGGGGTCCGTGGTAGATCAAGTAGATCACGGCCGGGCCCCCCCCAAAAAATTGGCTCCCTAAAGAAAGCTCAACAACTTTGGTAGATCCCTGCCAGTTTTTTGGGGGAGTAGATCTCCGTCTCTTGAAAGTTGGACATGCCTGACATACATGATTCTTTTAGAAGCAGTGACATTGTCAGTGCAGCGAATTGGTCACCATAACCTCAACCAGTTTAGAACAAGGA